CGTGGGGGAGAGAATTAAAATATAGATTCCAAGTTAAATCATTAAAATCAACAAAGATGGATTTTTCTTCTAAAGGAAAGAAGCAGAAGGAGTAAGAAGAGCCCATTGGACCCCATTCCAGATTGTCTTAAGACCTTGAGAAAACCATGTCTCTCTCCATGGGACCTCCAGTCCCTGTTTCTAAATGAGGAATAAAATCCCTGCCTGGGTCTGCAGCACAAAGGGCAGGCGGCGGGATGCCCAGGGGAGGCGCTGCTCTGGGACACTCAGGAATAATACTACTTCCTGTCCTCACAACCTCTCAGGAGGTTTTTGAAAGCATACACACACACAAGCATGTTGTACATTTGTGTGTATTGTTAGACAGGCACATGCGCGCGCGCGCACACACACACACACACACTTGATATCTGATAAGACAGCCAGAAACGGTACTGGGATGCTCAGAGATAACAAGCCATTAAAGAGAGAGCAAACTACATTTTGAGAACTATCCATCTGACTCTCCCTCACAAAGTTTCTAAGTATAATATTCCCATTTGTCCACCTAGAGCCTGGCTTTAAGCCACTCCTGAGCGAGTGATTTCCCACCCATGACCTGACCCCTGGCCCCCAACTGCGAGGGCATTCTGTGCTTTGCACTTGTCGTAAGACAGCAAATCATAACTTATGCTCCAGGGGAACAGGGATCATGTCTACCAAGTCTGTAGTCGTCACCCCAGCCTTGCACAGCCCTGTGCACATAATAAAGGACTCAAACGTCTTCCAAAGACACTACTGAGTTCCCATGACCAGACTGGATTCTAAAGGTCCTCAAAGCAATAAGCAGGTGCCAGCAGTCTGGCCATGACTGCTTCCGGCCTTGGAGGGGTATGGCTGCCCCGCTGTCTGCAGGGGCGTCCCCAGGCATGCTCAGAACGGACTCCAGGGGCTAATTCTACCCAGCAGGAATCCCTGACTGCAGACACACGCGGAGACAGTACCAAATCAGTCTCTTTTGGAGAAGGCTGCCCATGCCATCTCCAGAAAACAGCAGGAGCGTGGGAGGACGGCAGAGCATGGCCAGATGTGAAAGTCCCTCATACCCACCCGGTTTCCCAGTTTATTCCCTCACGAAGGTCCCAAATTATCAAACCAAATGAAGCGCTGGGGCTTCTCTTGGGGGGGGGAGAACTCCGAAGACATCTGAAGTAGCAGGGACAAGGATTATGAAATGAAGATTCACCAAGAAGTGAGGCTCTTCCTGGACATTTGTGTAACACCAGATCTAAAGGTATCTGAGGTATTTTTCATAATTTTCTAACCCTCCTCTCCCTCATCCCTGATCAATAAGGAAAGGGCAATTTTTTATGCTTGCTTTTGCAGCTGGCACACATGAGCTCTGAGAAAATAAACCGTGGGTAGCCCTTTAACTGCTAAGCATTACTCTCCCCCACCTTTCTGGGCCCAGTACTCCTGAGTTCAGCTGTCGGACAAATCGCACCTGTTTGTTCACCTGCTAACGGGGATTACTTAGAGTCACGGGGATCCCACTCAGAGATAACCCACTCGTCACCATTCTGACAAACTTAGAGGAAAGGAAGCTAGTTCTTCCTTTTTTTTTTTTTTTAAGATTTTATTTTTAAGTAATCTCCAAACACAATGTGGGTCTCAAACTCACAACCCTGAAATGGAGAGTCGCATGCTCTACCGACTAAGCCAGCCAGGCACCCCGGGAAGCTAGTCCTTCTTAAGAGGCCAAGTTCTCACCTTGCTGGACTCCTCTTTCTCTCCCAAACAAAGCACTATGCACACCGTCACCCTCCTCCAGGCTCCTAACAGCGAAGCCAAGCGGAAGAAGCAGGCAAGGTGACAGGCCTGTTAAAAGTTACTTGGAGGTCAAAGGACCCAGTCTCTAGCTGCAGAACTAGTAGATGTCTGGGATTCTGATGAATGGGATCTTTCACAAACACACACATGCCTTCCCTTTCCTGCTGAAAGCACTAGGAGAGTAAAAGGAAAATATGTCTTGTACTTATTTCAGTCTAATGCCAGGACACGCTTTTCCCAGCACCCCATTAACCAATATCATGAAGGGACAGTCTGGTAAATGGGGCTCCACACCAGGTAGCCAGGCACTTGGCCTGTTTCAACCCCGGATATATTTATGAAATTGAATTAGTGACATGTCTTATAGGCAATGGAGAGAGAAATGATAACCCGTTTCTGTATCCTGAGCAATCCCGAAGAAACCTTCCCTGGCACCATCCCATCTTCCTTCCTCCTATCCCCAGGCCAGAAGGCAAGAAAATGAATGAAGGTTAGTGGGGGGTGCCAGGGCTGTCTCCAGAGCCCCAGAGCCTGCCTAGGGCTGAAGGGCTGACTCATCATGGCTACCCACGCTGGCTGGGTAGGCAGGCGGGGGGCTAGCCTCACTGGGTCCCCACTGGGTCGCAGGGAGGGCCCAATTTCGGCAAGAAGAACAGGCCTTGCAGTCCTGCGGCCCCACCCAGGCTTTTCACAGCAAGCAGTGGGTAGAAAGGGCCGCTCTCTACCAAGTCTTGAGTTCCAAGAGAGAAGATGCAGTCCCCCAGCTTCTGCAAGGTGGGGGTGGGGAAAGCTGACTAGGCCACTGGAACGCGTGTCCACTAGGCTCTCAGGAGGCCCAGGAAGCTTCCTGGTGACCACACCCATGGATGGCAATGCCACGTAGCCCATAATGCAGACCAAGGTGATCCTCTGGCGGGAATACACACACACACATCCCCCCCATAGAAAGCAGTTTAAGATGGTCCCCAGTGGTGTGCAAGAAAGCCATCTCGTTCTTAAAACTCTCCGTGGCCAATAATAGTATGTGTGGAAGTTTTGGCCTCAAGACCCTCCTCCAGCAATGTTCTGAGGCCAGCAGAGGGTGGGGAGGGAATGCCAGGATCCCAATCTCAGAGCAGAAGGGATTTGAGGACGACCAATTGAATCAGAAGTCACACACCCAGATGCCTCAGGGAGCCTGGTGGATAGAATTCGAGGGAGGCCACAGTCAACACTGAGTGCCTGATAAAACAATTCTTACTGAGTACAGTCCAAACCTCAACCCAACATAGGCCCTGGAGACCACACAGGTGATGGCGGGTATGGCCGGTGGAAGCTTAGAAGGGTCATCTGGGTCCCCCATCCCAGGGATCTGCTGTCTTGAGCTACAGTGTGCGCCACATGCAGGGGAAGGACAGTGAACTCATCTGTAGCCTAAATTCCCCACTGGAAATGGGAAGGACATCAACGGCACACCCCACCACTGAGGAGAACGTGAAATGTACCTGGAGGCAGGCACAGCTCCTGAGCTCAGTGGCCAGAGTAAGCTCCACGTGCTGCCTGGCAATGAGCAGGAGTCCCACAGTGGGACAACTCTAAAGTCACTGTTGCTCCTAGCTATGAGGGGCGATGGCAGATTTCCAGGCCTGTCTCCTAATTGCCCTACTCAGGTCCCCACTCAGCACAGGACCCAGGATCCAAGCAGCATCCCCAGGGCCTTTGTCTCAGCACCTCCCCCTCAGCTGACTTCCAGTAGGAGCCCGGGTTCCCAGGGGAGGGAGGGAGGGAGAGAGAGACCCGCCCTAGCTCTGCCTCTAACTCACCGGGTGACCTTGATGAGGTCACTGCCCGCAGCAGGCCTACTTCCTAGTGTGCCAGAGGGGGTTGTCCTAGGTAGGTAGGAAGAGAACTGAGTGAACACCCTGTGGCTTTACGCTCCCGCCTCTCACCTGTGGGTACTTCCCTCGTCTGAACTCCACAGTCAGGTTCACTGTCCATCCCAGCTTACTCCAGCAGTCCTCCTGTCACCCATGGTGGGTGTGGGTGGGTCAGGGGCCCGTGCCAGGCCTCGGACTGGTAAAATGGGCGCTCTTCCTCACCACCTAGGCTGTTCCTTACAAACATGGTGGCAGGGCTGGCATAAGGGAGAGATACACCTTTAAGACCTGCCAGTGGACAGTATTTTCTGCTAGACAGATGTCCAAGGCAGCAACCCCTTAGGGTAGGGAGATGCATCCCTGTGCGAGTACACACATGTCACAGGCATACATGCGAAGGCCTCCATCCGACTCAAAAGACCAGTCTCTTATTTAAGCTCCCTGCGCTGGCTGGAAATTACAGTTTAAGAGAGCAGTCACGTAGAGGAATAAAAAATTCCATTCAGACATGCCGCTCCGGACCTGAGGCCTATGAGCAAAGTTTCCGGTGGCCTCCGCACCCCTCCCCGTTCCGGGAAGCCGGGCGGGTCACCCTGTCCCCAGATTAAGGGGCAGCCGCAACAGCGGGTAGAGCCGGGGTGAGAGCTTCTCCGGGACACCCGGCGCCCTCCGCGGGGAACCCCAAATATGGGATGCCCGGCCTCCAGCCGGCACCCCCGCCTGCTGCGCACTCAGCTCCCCAACATCTCTGTAATCACTCCTCCGCCCACGGCGCTCAGAACCTTCGGAACAGGCCCTGCGGACCGACCCACCGGTCCCCGGGCTCAGGCGCCTCCCCGCGTGGCCCGGGGGCCCGTCTGACATCCACAGCCCGGCTCAAGGACACTGTAGCACGCAGCCCGGTCTCGGGGGTCTTCCCCCCACCACACACACAATCCCGGGCAGAATCGCAGGGCGAAGGCTTCTCCCGCCCTGCAGTCCAAGCAGTGCCGGCCTGGGGAAGGCTGGGCGCGGGAGGATGGAGGCGGCGGCGGCGAGCGGATGCCGGAATGCGACGCTGCGGGCAGAGCGCCGGGCGGCGGCGCGCGCGGGGTCTCACCTTTTTGACTTGGTCATCCTTCAGCTCGGTGAAGTAATAGGCCAGGAGCTGCGCGGCGATCATGCTGACGGCGGCGGACGCGGGGCGGCGGGCGTGGGGCCGGCGTCGGTGCTCCGCAGCCCGGGCGAGCAGTGGTCCTCGGGCGGCTGCTCGGCGGCTCCTCCTCCTCCTCCAGCCGCGGCTCCACCCCCAAGGCCCGGGAGGCGGTGGCTC